TTTCCTGGGCTACGTAATGCTTTTATCAGAAACAATTGCTATCCTAATTACGTTATTCTAATTACTTACTGGAGTTACAATGACAGTGTAATTGTAATTAGATTATATTGATTGCAGTTGCATTGAATATGAAATTGGATTTCACAAATATAGAGTAATTGTAATTTAAATGAAATTACGTAAATTGTAATTGTAATTAAAAAAACAGCTACTTTTTAACTATAACTACTTAGTAATTGCATAATTTTATTACAATTGCATACTACACTTAGAATTACAATTATGATCATAATTTCACACTATGTTAAGTAATTCTAATTATCAGAGACAATTACTTCCCTAATTATTACTTAGTTATAATTACCTACTGCAATTGCAGTTAAAATTACGTTGTAATTAGCTAATATTACCGTAGTTGTGATTAGATGCAATAAAATTTGTAATTGTAATTAGATTATATAATTATAATGTTTGTGATTATCATTGCATTGTAATTGTAAGACTTAAGAATTAAAATGCAATTACATACATTATTGTTGCATTTAAAAAGTACTTACTTTCTAATTGTAATTGCGAAGCTAATTACAATTGCAATATAATTGAAATCACATATTTCAAAATATTACTGCAGTTTCTTGCAATTTTAATTTAAATTCCAATTACATTTTGCCAAACTGCATCTAAATTTGGAGAATAATTGGCTGGAAATGAAAATTCTCTTTACGAACATAAACATTTAAGTTTATAGCTGGTATAAAGCACAGAACAGCTGGAAGTTTTGAACGAGCTATTTATTCCGAGCTGTTATTCAAAACCTAACGATAAAACCCATTTGCCGCCTAGCGAATAGATAGTTTCCTCTCCTCAATTATCTCCCGCGAAAAAAATCAGTTTACTTAGAGCAGAGAGAAGGCATCGAACAGCCGTATATGCTGCTTGCGTTCGTGCCGCTATGAGATCCATTATTTTCGCCGCATATATACGCTTGCGCCGGAGGGTTTTAATGGAAGGGTACGGGAGGGGGCTACGTTTGAATATCATAGCAGCACATTTAGCAACATTAATTTTTATTTTCCAAGTGATGAGCCAGTGCTCAAGGCTAGAGAGATATCTCTGAATGATTTGGACCAAGTTTTCAAGGCGTTTGTGTTGAGCTAGGATGGCCGTATCATCTGCATAAAGTGCAAGAGTGATACTAGGTGATTTTGGTATGTCATTTATGAAAATGTTGAACAAAATTGGGCCTAAAAGTGACCCTTGGGGGACGCCGCTTAGTATAGGACGGGGTGCCGAAATGAAAGAATTAACTCGTACAGAAAAAGATCTATTAGTGAGGTACGAATTAATTATATGAATTAAATGGGCCGAAACGTCAAGTCGTATGAGCTTGATAATAATTCCTATATGCCAAGTCCTATCAAATGCTTTGGCTATGTCAAGAAATAAAGCGCCAGTAAGCATTTTGTTACGAAACCCTTCGTGAATGAACTCCACTGTCCTCAGCAGCTGGTGCGTAGGTGCAGTGTTTTGCTCGAAATCCAAATTGTTCATCAATCAGAACGTTGTGATTTCGGAGAAAATCATTCAGGCGTTTAAGTAACACAAATTCGTATATCTTAGATAACGATGATAGGAGGCTGATAGGTCTATAATTTTGAGGATTAGAAAGGCTTTGGCCTGGTTTTGGAATAGGCACAATAAGTGCTTGTTTCCAGCTTTGAGGAAAATAGCAATGCTGTATCATAAAATTTATAAGCATTACTAAGAAAAATAGATAACTTGGTGGGTAAATTTTTAATCATACGATTAGAAATAGAGTCCATACCAGGGGCTTTTTTGGGTTTGAGCTTGGTAATGTATTCACTTACCTCGCTCATGGATGTGTATTGTATTTCTCTCGCGAAAGGCGAGGAGAGGAAACGTTCAACATCTTGTGGGAAAGAACTTGCGTTGTTCGCAAAAATTCCTTCATTATGTGGTGTAAATTGAGTTTGAAGAGAATCCGCAATTAATTCGGATTTCTCAGCGTCTGTGTGAGCCACCACTGCGTCCGTAGCTAAGGACGGAATGTGAGATTTGTGTTTGCGTAGGCGGGCTGATGCGCGCCAAAGACTGTTATCATTGGTCGTTAGGGACTGAATGTAATTCGTGTATTGTGATTGGAAGAACTGGTCACATGATGCCTTGATCTCATTTTGGAGAGTACGGAGTTGAATTTTTAAGCCAGGATTTCTATTTCTTTGCCAAAGTCTCCGTACTTTATTCTTTTCTTTAATTTTGAGTTTAATTTCTTGAGGTAATTTACGAAAATTGGGTCTGAGGGTGGGTTTTGATACTTCCTTATAAGTATCAGTTAAGGTGTTCGTTAATTGATCTACTGGCTTGTCTATATCATGGCTGGATTTAATTTCGAGGGAGGGCAAATTTTTACTTTTAAGTTTGAAACCAAAATTGTCCCAGTTTGTAGAGACGAGTGCCGGAGAATTTTGATTAAAAGTAGTACAGTTAAGGTCGATGATCACGGGGTTGTGATCTGATGATAAACAATTTTCAACAGTCACTTTGTATCCAAAAGGGATGTTTCTAAAAAGTGCTAAGTCAATGAAAGAGGGGGCACCCCGTGAACCATATCTAGTGGGGGAATCCGGCGCAATAATTTTAATTTGGGCGCACTGAGCCCATTTTAGGAGGCCACGACCAGCAGGGTTTGATCTATGACAACGCCAATGCTGATGGTGACAATTTAAATCACCAGCTATGATAAGATTATTTGAAAAATTGAGCAGTTTGTTGAAATCTACCACAGGAAAATTTCCACCTGGTGGGAGATAGGCAGAGATCATAACTAGGGATGGCGAATTTTGAATAAAAATTTCGATAATTGTTGCTTCAAGTTTGCTCATATTTGGTGTGTCAATTCTTCGATGGGGTATTGAATTTTTTATGTAGACACAAGTGCCACCATGATAAACATCACGTGAATCTGAAGCTTGTCTGTCATTTTTATATAATGCATAGTTTACAAGCTTGGGAGCTCTCCCTGGCTGGAGTTTGGTCTCTTGGACAAAAATGATATCAAAATCCTTCTCTTCTACATAGTCTCTAAACTCATGGAATTTGGAAAGAATGCCATTTGCATTCCAGGTGCATAGTTTAAGATTTTTCAACCCTTTCAAAGTATTGAATTTTAATGATTGTGGGAATCAGAAAATTGGAGAGTGACATAACTCTCAAAGATGTAGTAAGCCGCGTCAGCACCAGATGGAGCCACTCTGAGCTGCGGTAAGGCGTTTTTGAATGCCAAAAGTAATTTGCTCTGGTCAATACCAGGCTGGTTAGAAATTTGAATTATAGCCAAAAGGATTTCGGTGCAATTTAGATTCGAATTTACTCCAATGGGGACCGATAAATTTGGAATGAGTGGGGGTGCAGTCTGTTGCATACCCGTAAGGGCAGCAGAGTAGGAAACTCCAGGGCGAATATTATTTGCACTGGGATGTGTGTGCAGCCGGCAGTGTTGGAAATGTATTGTTTTGTAAATTTAATTTGTTCGTGTTGTCAACGGTCTGACTGGGCTTGGTACTTGGTTTCGGTGGCTGTCGATTTTTCGATCCCGGGAATCTCGGGCATGATCTCCAGTTAGCTGCATGACTTCCGGAGCAGTTGGCACATTTGTTGGGTTCTTCGAAGGGCTTTGTGCAATCTTTTGCCTGATGCGGACCAGCGCATCTGACACATCGTTGTGGTAGCGTACAGACCTCCGAAGAATGAAAGAATCCCTGGCAACGCCAGCATTGAGAGGGACCTTTCTGCCCTTTGAAATGCTTCATGACGACTTCTGTGCCAAGGAGTTCGGTGACTGAGTATATTTCCGTTGCTTTGAGGCTATTGTGGATTTGAAGATAGAAGAGAGGCATTGGCATTTTGGTCTCGAATTTCTTGAGATGGGAGATTTTGTAAATTTTGAAACCAAGTACTTCGACCGCAGTCTGCACAACGTTGATCGGTGTGTTGGAGGGTAATCCCCTAATGACCACTTTGAGTGCTCTGTCAGATTTTAATGTGTGTGACTTAAATTGGATGTTGTTTTCTGTGAGAAATCTGACAACTGTCCTGTAATCTGTTTCATTAGTGGCGGTGAGGCGTAAAAATTCAATGTCTTGTTTTGATTGGACAGTTGGTGCGTGTCTGCGTAACTGATTTAGTAGAAAGAACCAATCAGCACGCGGTTTAATGAAGATGGGTGGTGGTGTTTGAATTTTAGGTGTTGGAGTGTCAGCCGGCTGCTGCGTTAAGTTTTCCGTGTTTTCTGAGACGTTTTGTATGTTTGTGTATGAATTTGATGTTGGAATGTTGTTGGTATTTTCGTTAGTGTTGGGTAATTTCTTTGCAATCAAGTGTTTGGGGGGGACTGCAAAGCCGCCACTGTCGACTGGTCTGGTGCGTTTTTTATTATCAGGTTTATAAATTTCTTTAGGTGGTTCTGAGGATGAGGATGATTTAGATTTTCGATTTTTAGTTTCAGGATCAGAGGCTATTGTGGATTTTTGGAATTCTCTAATAAATTCTTCTTCTGTGGCAGGTAAGGTGAAAAGGTTGATGTTAAGTTTTGTACATAGTGTGTGTAAGGAAAATAAAATTTTCTCACCCTCATCCTGTAGTTGCTTCATCATCAGGTCCTTGTTAGGTGTTACCGATCTCTGCAAACGTTGAATATCAAAGAGCAGATCAGTGTGTCGAGTCTTCAGGCCGTAAATTTGAAGTGCACTTTTTGATAACTCATGTGCAGAAGGAGAAGCAGGAGGAGTTGAGTTTGTAGTATCCATATCCGTTAGTACTTGTAATGGTTGAGGAGAAGTAGAGTGATTGCCTGCTGGCGGCGCCTATTCAAGGTTTCCTTGTTCGCATTGCGGAGCTCAGCGCTCGCACGTCTGTCGCTTTTGGCGTCCATGACGCGAAAGGAGAAAGATCAAATAATGGAAAGCAACCACTGAACAGATTTTTATACCCTCTGGTAGTACCAAACGCGAGGAGGTAACGCCATCTATCGGCAAAAATAATAACCAAGAATTATGGTTAATAGTAGAATTTTAAAGGCAACGTTAGGAAGGACTGGATTGGACTTCAAAATCATTTCACTAAACCTGCTAAATCTTTGTGAATGTATGAAAAGCCTCAAGAAAATCCAACTTCACCTAATGGAAGAAGCCTTTTTAGGATAATTTTTGCAGACCCAAAGTCAAAATTATGGTTCGATTTCCAACTATGATACGCTATTGAAGACTTGTTAATTTCGCCTTTTCTGACATAAGATTCCATGTTCCTTGATACGAAACTTTAACGCTCTTTTGTTTGGCCAATATATCTTAAGCCACACTGACACGATGATATACTATAAATTCCCCAAGAATTCAAAGACAGAAACGCAATCTTTTAGAATCGAAGGGTGAATTTTATTAATAGGGAAGAAACCGACTTGAAAATTGAATTTCTGGAGAATCCGTGCAATTTTATAGCTAACAGAAGGATAAAATGGAAGCACGACAAGGTCATTAATATTATTTCTAACAGTGGAATGTCTTCTTTGATGGGAATCAGAAAATTTTTTAACGGCTTTATCAATAATTATCAATAATCACGGGAGAAAATCCACGATCAATCGCAACTGCTCTCAAATAATTAAGTTCATTGGTAAGCAAAGATTCAGAGGAACAAACTTTAAGCGCGCGGAATACATAATAGTAAAAAGAAGCCTACCCATGCCAAGTCATGCCACCCTGTTAAGCAAAAAATGGCTTCTTTTTACTATTATGCATTCCGCGCGCTTAAAGTTTGTTCCTCTGAATCTTTGCTTACCAATGAACTTAATTATTTGAGAGCAGTTGCGATTGACCGTGGATTTTCTCCCGTGATTATTGATAAAGCCGTTAAAAAATTATCTGATTCCCATCAAAGAAGACATTCCACTGTTAGAAATAATATTAATGACCTTGTCGTGCTTCCATTTTATCCTTCTGTTAGCTATAAAATTGCACGGATTCTCCAGAAATTCAATTTTCAAGTCGGTTTCTCCCCTATTTAATAAAATTAACCCTTCGATTCTAAAAGATTGCGTTTCTGTCTTGAATTCTTGGGGAATTTATAGTATATCGTGTCAGTGTGGTTTAAGATATATTGGCGAAACAAAAAGAGCGTTGAAGTTTCGTATCAAGGAACATGAATCTTATGTCAGAAAAGGCGAAATTAACAAGTCTTCAATAGCGTATCATAGTTGGACATTTAACCATAATTTTGATTTTGGGTCTGCAAAAATTATCCAAAAGGCATCTTCCATAGGTGAGTTGGATTTTCTTGAGGCTTTTCACATTCACAAAGATTTAGCAGGTTTAGTTAATGATTTGAAGTCCAATCCAGTCCTTCCTAATGCCTTTAAAATTCTACTACCTTAATTCAGTTATTTTTGCCGATAGATGGCGTTACCTCCTCGCGTTTGGTACTACCAGAGGGTATAAAAATCCGTTCAGTGGTTGCTTTCCATTATTTGAAGTTCAGATTTTGAGCGTAAGGTGCATTTGCCCCTCGCTCCCTATTTTAACTTCGCTAATATTTCTTTATGCTTGATCAGACAGCCTGGCTCAGTAAAAGTAGGCGGCCAGTGCAACTCTGATTAAAAATCTAGTTATAACCACGTGCAGTGCTGATAAGGACCACGTGTTTTTGTGACTCCTTTATTTTCTTCTTTCTAAGTATTTCTTCCTCCTGATGAGGAGGGACCTTTAGCTGCCCTCGAAATCGATTGAGTGTTTCATTATACCTACGCTAAATGCAAGGTTGTTTTTACGATTTTGATAGAAACGGTATTGTCTGGAGCGACGAATCAAGGTTTAGCTTCTGTTCGAATGGCAGGTTTTGGGTATTGCGTCTGCCTGGAGAATGCATTGTGCCCATAGTAAAGTTTGAAATTATGGTTTAGGGGTGTTTCTTCTGATATGGAATGGGATCCTTGGTCAAAATTCATGGTAAGTTTAACGCCGATGCCTACTGTACTGTTCTGGATGACAGTATGCTTCCTATGTTGTGACATTTTTACGAATTGGATACATATTACTTTCAGGACGAAAACGCCAGCTGCCATTTGCGAGATCCACCATGGACTGGTATCGTGACAATGAGTTTAACCGAATGGACTGACTGCTCAGCCCAGACTGAACCTTTTCGAGAACCTGTGGGACGAGTTGAATCCCCGAATGAAGAGGTGCAACAACCGTCCAACATTTCGGTTAAGGAATTTAGATGTCATCTCCAAGCCGAATGAAAGAAAATACCAATAGACGTAATACAAAGACCTGAAAGCATGCCCCGGAGGGTTAACTGTAACTGCCGCTCGTGGTAGCTCTTCCAACTATTGAATATGAATAAATTTTCTTCTTTTCTATCAAAAGTGTCCAAATACTTATTGGTAGATAGGGTATAATTAATTTCATATTATATCTGCTTAGCCTTTTTCTTTGTATCTAATTCAAAAATAAAGCTAAAAATTATCTAATACCTCAGAAATGTTTAGAAAGATGTTTTCAAACTTCTTAAGACGTTGCTTGATATGACTCAGCTTTGATTTAGCTCCAAAAATCGCACTACACGTTTGCAAATCTGAATTCTCAGATTCGTCGGCATTGATTATCACTACTCAACTAAATTTCATCGTGTGTCAATCTTTACAAGTAAAAGAAATTTATTAAAATGCTTTCTTATGTAAATACAATTCGGTGAAGATGAAAATGTTTCAATGCTTTCAAAATTCGGAAAGAAGATGGTCTTGGAAACAAATTATCTTTCAGAGAATCACATTTTGTTTCTTTAGAAAAAGTGCCATAAACGATGCATAGCTTCTTAGATCAATGGCCAATCAATAGCGAATTAAGCCGATGGACACTAGTAGCTCAACTCGCTTTCAAACTCCAGCATTTGAGTTCGCCGAATGAACGTTTTCATGTTTTTTTTTTTTTTTCATATATAACGTAAAGAGAAGTTATTCCCCTCACAAAATCCTCCAAGAAGATATCACTCCTCCTTGGCAGATATCCCAGCACGCTTTACCAAATCGATTAAACGAAATGAACCAGAGTCATAGATCTGTGACTTTCAAGGTTAACAATGCGATGAATGTGATAAGTTCCCAACCCCTTCTAGAAAATTATCGGGAATCAACGTTTTTCGCTCTAAAACTCCTTTATTTTGCTTATAAAAGTTCAAATTTGACTTGCGTTGCACAATTAAATTCAAAATTATTTTCTGTACTTTTATAATTGGCTTAAAAAATGTATTACCGTCTTTCTGAGAAATTATAACTTTACATCGATCTACTTTTTGTAAGATTAAATTTTCTAAAATCCGTAACATCTTATTATTCATAAAAACGAAAGTAACATCATATTATTATTATTATTATTATTATCATTATTTTAATCTTACAAGGCTTTGAGTTAATGATTTCCGTTATCTTATCAGATTTGTCTTTATTTTCACTTTTACTTTCGTTACTTCCATCAGAATGCAAATTACTTAAAGGGTGCAGAGAGCTTTCGATAGACTTAGCTAACCGTTATTCTGTTACTCTTCTTTGCTGTTTTATCAGCTTTAGCTTCGGCGTTCTCGAATACTTAAGTCTAAAGTCAAAGCTTATTTAGGCACATGTAAAATTATATTTTAAATTTAATTAAACTTGTTCGGTACTACCCGTGATCTCTATATTTTGTTTCTATTGTATCGTTGAGTTTGTGCAACCGTCAGTATGACCGTGTTAATGTATGATTTTTATTAAACCCTCTTTCAATTTGTAATCTCCTTAGTTATAAGTTATGGATGATAACTCATTTATCTGTTTTTATGGCAATAGTAGTTTTTGCGCTTTAAAATAATGTGGACCTGTATAACCTTAATCAAAAACATATTTTATTCTTGTGGATTCAATACTCTGAAAAGGTTCGATACATTTTAAAAGCTCCTAATCTGTATAACAATCCCCAAACTTACATAGCATGCGGTTGACGCAAAGTAGCGATTGCGTAAAGGCACTAAAGTTGTAACATTCAAACTGAAGCTGTTTATTTATCCTTGAAATAGAATCGATATGCAAAGAAGAATGACAATAAAATCTAAAACATCTGATGTGGACATCCCCTGACCTTCTTTTACGGCCTGTTAACTTATATACACATTTGACTACATTTCATTTACACTTATTTCCTCGAATTTCATTAGAGATATGTTTTTGATTCAATTATTTCAGCTCTCACTTCGCCGCAAGGCAAAAATACATAAAAATACAAAGCATCTTCATTAAAAACTGTAAAATATAGAACAAAATAAAACATCAGATACAATTAAAAAGAGTTTAAAAATCATTTTTACAATTAAAATTAGACAATTAAAAAGAGTTTAAAAATCATTTTTACAATTAAAATTAGAGTACTCAAAACCAAGCTATTCGTCCAGCAGGTAAGAAGACAGATTTTTTTGGGGGGGGGTACACAAAATTGAAAGTTTACTTTTAGTCCCACTCGGCAAAAAGTCACTGAAGCTGGTGCACCAAACGATTTAATCCAGTGTTCTAAAATGATTCAAGTGTAAACAAATGGCTACCTCGTTAGAGTTTGCACCACTTAAACTTTTAAATTGTTGATAATTCTATAACTATTGCATGAAGATTAACTGAAGGCATAAAACCTCAACCGGAACATAAGAATAAAATAATTCAGTTACTTTTAAAGCAAAAAATGCACATTTTACCAGCATATAAGAATAAAACATTGAGCTCAGCAGGGCTAGTATATATTATATGTTTGGTGAGGCCGATTGCAACCAAAACGAGACTTGCACAACTACATGTTTTAACAGTTCCACATACAAAATTTCAACATTCTGAGGGTACTCTTTTTTGAGTTATGCGAGATACATGCGTGCGCACGTACTCGCATAACTCAAAAAAGAGACATATGCACAGACGTCACGGAAAAAAAAAAATCTATTCTGAATCCGTATTAAATCTATTTTACAATCCCTTTTGGAAAAACGAATCTTTTATTCTGTCTGTACGTTCAGATTTTGTGCAAAAACATCGTTCATATAGATTCGAGAGCGGTAAAAATAGATAGTTTCTTTGAAATATGAAACCTGAAATGTTTCGCGATTATAATACTTGCTTCATTTCGTATAAGGAAGTAAAAACTGCAATAACTTTTGAAGCAAATAATTCGTATGTATGAAAAAGGAAAAAATTATATCAACAACAGCACAGGATATGAATGAACCTATTTCCAAGTTTAATACTATAATGGAGGATGAAGTTCATATTATTGAAATCAAGAAAGATGCGGCTAACGTTAAAGAACACAATTATTAAAAAAAAAAAAAAAAAAAAAAAAAAAAAAAAAAAAACCAAGAAATCGTTAACTGACTAGATCGTGCATCTGAGACTGAAGCGAATACCATTCAGTTTTCTGATTCTCCATGACAAGGCTAAATCTTCACATAAAGATTTACAAGAGAACGATTCGACCACCGAGCGATTTGAGATTGCTATAACAGCCGTACCTATAACGATATGTATAGCTACAAAGCCTTTTTACTTCACAAAAGCATGTTGTAACTGTGAAAAATTTCTGGTATCATATTTTAAAGGAAATATCCATTTTGATTTTTCCCGAATCCATTTAGACTATTTTTTATGCGTGACGTCTGTACATACGCACAGAATAAAAGACTCTTTTTTCCAAAACAGATTGTAAAGAGGATTCGAAAGAGATTTTTCCGTGACATCTGCACGTACGTACGTGTATCTCGCATAAATCAGAAATGAATCATAGAGCATTAACATTTTGTATATGCAACTGGGTATATAGTCAGAGATTTAATTCTCATTTTTGAATCTGCTTAAATGTACGGACGTTTTCTGCAACCCAAATAGTGCGTTAAAATTAAATTAGTATTTAATTAAACGTCTTTACAAACACATATCATAATTTTATTTATTTCTGTCTTGCAGACTGTTAGAAGTTTCAAAGCGAAACATAAATCTAACAGAAAAATTATGGAATAGAAAAATTCTTCATATTTGGTAGAAATTTAATTGCTGAGTTTTTTTTTTTTTTTCCCCTCGCTTTTCGCTTCTTGCTTTACTTTTGATGAATACAAATGTGTCAGCTGTATATTTATGAAACAAATGTAACTGTTAATTATTCTGTTTAAAGGAATAAGATATTTCTTGTACGACAATGTGTCTTTTTTTTTTTTTTTTTCATTCCAGAAATATAAAAAAAAAAGAAAGAAAATTAAAAGCAAACTGTCACAACCAGTTAATCGTCATCCAAATAAAATTAGCTGAAAACAAAGAATTGTTCATTACAATATCATGAAACCGCATTAATAAGATATAATATAAAATTTCTTAAAAGAGTATAAATGACAGCCTTATTCTTGTTTTTTAGAAGAGAAAGACAACACACTAAGGCTAAATAGTGCTTATTGTCAGCAGTCACAAATACGTTAAAAACTTGCCTGAAGATGGAAAACCCAAGCATCATTGGAAGTTGAGAACTAATTATAGTAGACTAATTGATGGCAGATATGCCCTATATAATATGAGAAAACAAAAGATATACCGTAGCAACTCTTCACTGGTTATTTAATGCAGGTTGTAAGGTAATGTAGCATGTCAAAAGATAAACGAAATGAGATTTACCATTCTGAACTCGCCATTGTAACCATTCTGAGCTCGCATAGTAACTTTCAGTGTCGAAAGCGGCAAATTAACCACACGAAGAACAAAACTGAGTTGCCAGGGATCGAAACTTGCTTTGGAAGGATATATTCTAATTAACTGTAAACTGTTTCATCATCTACGCTTTCTGCTGATGATCAACTCTGAAAGTAAGCAAAAAATAAGCATTGCCACTGATAATTATGACGTTTATTTTGTTTGCCGATTTCTCGCTAATTTCGACCGAGATCAATGTAGTATGAATTATTAAGTGGACCATCAAATTATCTAATTTCGCCATCAAACTAAAGCATTCTGAAACATTTTTATACTTTCTAAACGTGCTGTATTTATCATGTATGCTTGATTTGACAGTTATGATGCAGTGCTCTTTAAATGATTTTTAGCCTAAAATGTTATACTTCAGTTGCTTATATTAATGTTTATGTTATTAATGTTATTAATGTTACGAGGGCAATCCCCAAAAAAAAATGTCTCCTATTTTTTGGGGACGTAGAGAAAGTTTTAATACGGTTGTTGGCAATAATTAATGTTATTAATGTTACGAGGGCAATCCCCAAAAAAAAATGTCTCCTATTTTTTGGGGACGTAGAGAAAGTTTTAATACGGTTGTTGGCAATACTGTTGTGAGTGATGCCTTCTCCGCTACCACATAAGCACGCAGGCGCTTCGCTCGGATGCTCAGTCTTGGCTTGGCAGTAGTGCTGTAGAAGTAACGAGAAATTGTGTACCCGTATGTATTCGTTACTCGGTGAACCAGTACTCGTTACTATCGTATCGTTACTCGTTACTTTCGGTAAAATCCATCGGTATCCGTATCCTGAGCCTATTTTATCGGTCTACGGCCCTAAAAAGGGGCCTTGAAACGTCGCATCGCATTGAATCACGTGAGCTTTTTTCTACCCCGCGGGAACTGGGTAGTGCTGCGATAGGGAGTTTTGCGTCGCATTTTTGAGTAGAAATAATTCACTTTATTTTGGCTATTATTTTTTGGTGCACTGGATATGATTCATTATTAAATTTTCTATTGCTGTCAGGGCTTAGTTTCTAAAGTCAGAAGCGCCTACGGAAGGCCGTCAGGAAAATAGGAAAAAATAAAGAAAGAAAGGAAATAAATATTACAATAATAACATTAATTAATAATTAAAATAACAAAAAATTACTTATTAAAAAACTTAATAATTAAAATAATAAAAAATAGTGATTAAAATAATGAATAATTAAAGTAACATAATAATTAGCAACTGAAGTATAAAATACTTATAAGTAAAATTTAATAAAAATGTAAAAACAAATAAAAATTAAAATAATTTTTTAAGTTTATGATGATTAATTAAATAATAAAGTAAAATACCAGATCTTGTCTTATTGGCTTAGTATCGTTTCGTCCTTTCTCATTTCATCCCCAGCTCGAAAAAGTGTTATTTCGTTCGCTGCCTTCCCCCACCAATTCCCTCTTTCCCGTTTCATCCGCTGTTTGAAAAATAGGTGTTTACTTTACGATAAGGCGAACGTCTGTTTACTTCAATTAAAATGGTTTAGAAGAGATGACTCAGGACTTATTTATCCTTGGAGATGACTGTTTCTACTTCGACTTAGCTTTTGATTTTTTAATAATATTTAATATTTTATGCAGACAAATTATGTTGAGCAGAATAATGAATTTCAGACGTGTTCAAAAGGTGTGTATCTGAATATAATAACATTTTTGTTGTATAGTATCCATTTTTTTAATTTCACACATTTCTAAAGCAACGGAAGTACGGTATCACTATTTTGGCACACACATCAAAAACATGTATAATTAAGATTAATGTTACATTCCTTATTAAAAGTAATGGGTCTTCATTAAATGCAACCATTCATGCTTTTAGAGGATTTTACATGTGGTGGTCTTAAAAAGATGATGTTCACTACCAATGTTTGTTTATGTTCCCAAAAATAGAGATCTCTTAAAAGGTGACCTTTTAGAGATGTTGTAAATAGATGATTTGCTATAATTATTTTCCAATAGATAATGGAATTAATGTAATTTAATGTCAATAACTCGAGGAAGCAAGTTTAAATACGGTGCAACAAAAATACAGAAGTATTTTAAATGACGAAAATATTCATATTTTGTCAATGTCAAATTTAAAAAAGAATTAATTTTGGACAAATTATGAAATCTAACTTTTAATGTCGTCTTCTGGTTTCTATATTTATATCTGGCAAAGTTTTATACTTGTTATGAAAAAATAAAAATACAAGAAGTTTGAGTCCCGTAGGACAAAGATTGACCGGGAAATTTAGTTTCAAAATTTGCAATGTTTGGTGCCATTTGTAACTTGCCTTCGGGTATCGCTTAATTGAGTTAGAATAATTCGAGGAAATAAGTTTAAATGAAGTGCAGCAAAAAAATAAGCATAATTTAAATAGTCGTAGAAGGAAGTCATGCGGAATCCATATCAAATTTTCACTTTTTCATAATGACCATAAAACTTTCCCAAATAAAAATACAGAAACTGGGAGAGACCGCATTAAAGATTAGCTTTCGTTATTTGTCCGTTATTCGTTATTTCGTTTGCTGCTGCTTCCCCCATTCCCTTCATCAGAACCGCTAATGACGAAAGGGTGAAATTTCCCCGATTCATCCCCTTTCCAAAAACTCCTAGTTGAGACTGTTATTTGTTGAGACAAGGAATGCTATGTTATAAATGTCAACTTGCTTTTTACACTTAACAATATAATCGATAAAAACACATTCGCACATGTATAGGTTAAGTACGAATTAAGAAAGAACTTAAAAGAAATTTAGAAATCTATAAAAGGTAAGGACATTTTTATGTTACTTTATTAGAGATAATAGTGAAGCACTAAATATTTCAATCAATGTTATTTCATAATGCTATGAGTATACCTTTATTCATTTAAGAAATGGCTCCATCAGCGGTAGAGCGGTAAAATCGCTGAACACTGGTAGTTCCGACCTGAGTTCGATCTCAGGCAAACGGGCTGGCTTCATAAGCGTTTTGTGGTTTTTTCCCGTATCAGCTTACAAGCCAGCTTACCACGTACCATACGAGCCAGCCCACGTACCATACCAGCTTTCCTAAGAAAGTGCTCTACGAAGGCATTTTTCCTCTTAGGCACATAGCCCCAGTGTGTTTTGTCATAATCAACTAAACCAAATCATTTAAGAAATATATCAGTTGATCACTGCTCAGTGTACATCTGCTGTTTGCTTATAAAAACACTTTGTAAAGACATTTCCACTATTTTGCTAATAATTCTGGAAGGCTCATAGAATCCGAAATTATGTTACACTAGCTAACAGAGAACTTAAGTCTGCTTAATACAAAAAAATCTGCTTGACTTGCTTTCGTGTCTTTGGGAAACGTAAGTATATGCAGAAATAAATATTAAAATCTATCACGTATATTTGTAAGGATGTAAAGCATACTGTTTTGGTTCACGATAATGATAAATATGCATCATGTTACGACAGTTTTAAAAGATCACAAATAACTATACATATGCTAGACTTCTAACAAAATTTCTGTTACAATATGAATATGCATTTATTATTATATGAGTCGTAAAACGGCTCACCAGCGGCCGAGCGGTAAAGTCGCTGAACACTGGTAGTTCGGTCCGAGGTTCAAATCCCGCGAACGGTCCGGCTACATGGGTGTTTTCGTGCTTTTCCCCATGTGTAACGTGTATACGAGCCAGTTTCCCTTAGAAAGTCCTCCACGAAAGGCATCCATCCCTTAGGCAGATAGCCATAGTGTGCTTTGCCATAATTAAACACACCATACACACATGAGTCGTAAAATTCAGTATTCGTCATTTTTAGATTCTAGGTATATGACAAAAATTTTTTTTTTTAATTTTCGTTTTGTTTTTAAAAATTAATTCACTTTATAGCTTTTCTTCAATTTATTATAAAGGAATAGGAGTTTAAATTTTGATTTATATATAATATGATATAAATTCATCATTCATTAATAATATTTTATGTATAACAGAAAAATTATTATTAATGTTCCAAATTTTAATTTTTTTAATGATTTGTCTTACATTTGTTGTATATTTGTTGAATGCATAGCTAAATATTTCAATTATACACAATAAAGATTATGCAGAAAACAATTCAGCTGGCATGACAGCTAATTGCGAAAGAAAAATTAGAGTCTTATTGCTCTTAACTCTTAGTACAAGCAGCCATTTTTAAATTGACGTTAAAATAAATTTATTCTATGGTCTATTAGAAAATAACTATACTGAATCATTTATTGACGACTTCTAAGAGGTCGCTTTCTGAAAGAGAACCTGTATTTTTGAGAACATAAACATACGTTGATATTGAACATCACTTTTTTAAGATGCCAGAGCAAATGCACAGAGCTCCAAAAATCCTCTAAAAGCATAGACGGTCACGTTTTAAAAGGCTGACTACTTTTAATAAAGCTTGTATATTAATGTTCATTATACATTTCTCACATTTTTACTTTCTTTCAAAACAGCGATACTGTGGTTCAATTGCTTTAGAACTATGTGAAACTAATAAAATGGGCCCTATGTTATAAAAACCTAATTATATTCAGATACACACCTTTTGAACATGTTTGAAATCCATTATTCTAATCAGAATACTTTGTCTACAGAAAACATTGAATCAATATTAGAAATCAAAAGCTAAGTGAGATTAAAGTAGGAAGAGTCATATCGTCTAACCCATTTTAATTGAAGTAAACAGGTGCTTACTTTATCGTAAAGTGAACACCCGTTTTTCAAACAGCGAATGAAAAGAAAAAAAGAGCCCACCAGAGCTCGAGCGGTAAAGTCGCTGAGCACTAATAGTTCGGTCCGGGGTTCAATTCCCGGCTAACGGCTAGCTGCACGGGCGTTTTCATGGTTTTCCCCGTGTGTAACTTGCATATGAGTCAGTTCCCTTTAAAAAAATCCTCCACGAAGGCCTCCCTCCCCGTAGGCAATAGCCCTAGTGTGCTTTGCTGTAACCGAATAAACCGAAACCGGAAAAAAAAAAAAAAAGAGAGAATTGGTGGTGGAAGGCAGCGACGAAACGTCGTTTTAGAAGAATGGGCTACTACATAACCAAATTTCTATCTATACTCTGGTAAACAGTACATTATTTTCTCATCAAAAGCCTAAATTTAGCTAATGCTCGGCTTAGTTCTTAAATTGCAATTTTAGCCACAGCCCCCAAACAAGACGATGTCTGGTATTTTATTTCATTATTTAGTTATTCATCATTAATTTAAGAATTAACTAAATTTTCATTTGTCTTTAAATTTTTATTGAATTATAATAATAATCATTTAATATTCTAGTTGCTAATTATTTTATTATTGTAATAGTTATTTTATTTATTTTTATTTATTTATTTATTTATTCATCTTTCCTGATGGCCTTCCATAGAGCTCCAGCACTTCTAATTTTAAAAATTAAGTCCTGACTACAACCAATGATTGCGAAAATAAAAGTCAAGTAACTTATTTAGTGATAATTAAATAAAATAAAAGCCAAAGCTTTTATTATATATATATATATATATATGTTTGTGTGTGTGTGTGTGTACTTTAAATTTAATTATAAGGACATATATATATGTACTTTACATTTAATTATAATTTATTTGATATATATATATACATATTTACGTTTGGTAGCATTACCAATTGGAATAAAAAGGGAGGTGCACATCTAGATGTTATATACAAAATTTCAACGTTCTATAACTAATCGTTTTTGAGTTATGCAAAATGCATACATACGTACTTGCACATCACGAAAAAAATCCCTTTCAAGTATCAACTTAGAGTCATAATCATTAGTCATAAGTATCAGCTTAGAGTAAATGGGATTACATTTAACAATAAGTTTTTTTTTTTTTTTGAAAAAAAAAAAAAAAGAAAAAAAAAAAAAAAAAAAAGAGAGTCCTTCATTGTGTTCGTACGTACAGACGTCACCCCAAAAAATAATTCACATGGATTCCGTAATCGTCAAAAACGGATATTTCCGTTAAAATATGATACCCAAAGTTTTCTCGATTACAATAATTACTACCATTTTATTTGATACAAGGAAGTAAAGAACCTATATTAACCTACATATTCTTATATAAACAATACCTAAGTGCAGTATATAAATATTTCAAATCAATAAAATCTCACTATGGCACGCTCAAGAAAAAAAAAAAATAAATAATCATCTAAATTTTCAAATTACAAACATAAATAGCAATAGTAAAAAGCAAATACAAAATAACGCTTCCCGCTATCAAAATTGCTCATCTTCTTAAATATCAACAACTAAACTAAATAGTATTTCAACTAAAACACATAATGTAAACAAGAATTTGCCCGATGCCCAAAAAAATTCAAAATTATCTATGAAAAATATGAGCACATTGTAACGCAACCGCATCATTCGCATTCGCATAGAAACCGCATCATTCGTATTCGTATAGCAACCGCATCGTTCGTACTCGAACAAACCGCATCGTACGACAGATGCGAGTAACGAACAGATGCGAGTAACGAAATGAATTTGTGAGTACCGAATCGGTACTTCGAGTCAACCGATGTACCCTTTACTCAGTAACGAATACATGCGGTTTGCTCCAACTCTACTTGACAGCCATTCGAAATGGAGCTCCCGATAAACGTTACCGCCAAGTGCGAAGTGCGCGCAGTTATTCGATTTTGAACGCAAAAGGCGTTAAACCGGTTGAAATTCACCGCCTATTGACAGAAGTGTATGGACAGTCGTGCATGGATGTCAAAAACGTTCGCAAGTGGTGTAGAGAGTTTACAGCCGGTCGTACTGAAATTCATGACGAAGAAAGGAGCGGGAGGCCGTCAATCAACTTTCGCGATTGTTGAGTTCGTATTCGTAAGTTTCGCGATTGTTGAGTGCGTAAAGCTCGGAGGATCATCTGGATGCTCCTGAAGCTCCTCAACACTTCCTGAAGGGCATGGCGGCAAGCTGGTATGACATGGGCATTGTAAAACTGCCACAGCGTCTACAAAAATGCATCGACCGAAATGGCGATTATGTTGAAAAATAAAGCATTCTTCAATCTTTAAAGTGATGTAGGAATTATAGAAAATAAACGGTTCTTTGTATATCTAAAAATATAGACCTTTTTTTGGGGGGATTGCCCTCGTACTTTCTTTCAGCAGAAAAAGGCGTTTAATCCCTATGCCTAGACTATTCTGGGAAGGTTTTTCAGAACGTAGAAAATAATTCAATATAATGCCAGTCTTCCAAATTAAAAAAGTGTCAAGTCAATCGAACATCTTTTGTGATGTGTTATTATTATTTATTTATCATGTGCTCCGCCTTTTTGGCAGTATACGCAAAGGGAAGGATGCTCAGTGGAGTACTTTTTAACACCTAAGTACAAATCGGTCAATTTGACCGATGGACATTTTTACGTTTTGATATTGGCAACACTGGTTGATTGGAGCTAAGGGAATTTGTAAACTTTACACTACACCAGTGTATAACATGTCAATGTTTGTTAACAACAAGTTTTCTGCTTTTACAAAGGTTTCAAAATTGTAATACATTTACTCTATCAGTCATGCTTAATAACCTTTTTTTTTTTTTAATTTAAATGTTCTTTTGTTTTTTATTGCTTTACGATATTTTTTAAATAGTAATATAGGTTAAAAAAACATTAAAAAGGCGTACACGGTCAAAATGATCGCATGTGTAACTATGCGTCATAAGGAAAACGTGTTCTTATAGGTATTAAAGGAAACTGACTCGTATTCACTTCACACATAGGGAACGCTACGAAAACACCCATGCAGGCAGCCCATTCGCCGGGTGTTGAATCCCCGAACAAACTACCACTGTTCAGCGGCTTTTACCGCTCGGCCGTTAGTGGGCCTTTGTGATGTGTTGAAACAGTAAATTCGATTTGCAGTAGCTTAAACATGTATGACTTTAGACGCTTGCAGCACGTTGTATAGGAAACACCTTTAGAAATCTCATAGCACCCGTGTTTCATTAAATAAAATTTTTTTGATGGCACATATAGGACAAATACCATATTAAGCAGAAACTCGCAGAGCTCTGGCTTTGTTAGTGTCTGCCCAGTATGACAAGTGGGATCTTCCTACTTTTTTCTCCTTGTATAGGATTTTTAATGTTCAACGTAACGTTATACAGAGATGAGTATATTTTTAGGCTATGATTTTAATATTTAAATACCCCAATGAAAATTGCTAGCGTTTTTCGTAACTTCAGGATGGTAATACTAATGTATTGCGCTTAGTATTATTATTTTTTTTATTCGCACTCTCTGTTGTTAATTTTGCATAAGTAATCGAAGTCTTTTTTTTTTTTTTTTTTTTTTTCCTTTAATAACATCTGAGTATTCCAATCTAAGTCACATTTATTCTTGTAAACGCAACGTATTAATTTTATTTAAAATGTATTTTCCCGATTGGCAACAACAGTTTTTTTCAGAACGATAATATTTTGAACTCTAAGTTTTTGAGCAGTAATGTTGACGGTAATGTTTCTGAATAAAGCAAGTATTTAACAATTAATGTTTTGACGGAATATATTTTTAATAAAGGAACTAATTAATTGCTAACATTTCAGAAGTGGGATAAACTAGAATTATTATCTAGATTTAACAACGTATTGCCTTAACGTACGCTAAGCCTAAACTGAATGCGGAAGCTCGCCAAAACTGAAAGTAGAAAGGTACGTGAATTTATAAACTGTGTTAAATATTTGCATAGTCGCCTGTAGTAACGGCAACCGCCGGCAATAAAAGGAGGTGCTTTCCTTAGTGGCACCGCAGTTCCTTTTAGTTCGAGCCAGAATAGACCTGCCCGGGGAGAAGCCAGGGGATGAGAGATTCCGGTTCCCGCCCTGTTCCGGTTCCCGTCTTGTTGCGGATCCAGTCCTGTTCCGGTTCCCGTCTTGTTCCAGTCCTGTTCCGGTCCTGATCCAGTCCTATTCCAGTTCCAGTCCTGGCCGTTTAAGTCCAAAACACGTAGGAGCGGATGTCTGAATTCAGCGAATGGAGATATACGCCGAAAGGGCTAGATGGATTCTGTCTTTTAAAGGAAAGTGTTCTTCACCGTGCCGGCATAGCTGTTACTTTAAAGCTCTTTGAATGTTTTTCCACCCAAGATGTTAAGTTTTTTCGTTTATGATGTTAAGTTTTCATCAGTGTTGAAGTTCCAGTTAAATAAACCTTTAAGTTTTAGACAAGGTTTTTGTGTTCTTCAGAAAATTTTAGATTCGAAAATTTTAGATCGAAGTCAGATATAGCACATAGGATTATTATCGGAAAAATCAACATTTGGCATCAAGCTACAGGATATTGTCTGCAAGGTAAGCGACTTTTTTATTTTTGAATCATGGAAGCTTTAAAGTTCGCACGAACTCAATATAGAAGACTATTCAGTAAAGCTTGTAATGAATTTGACAATGAAGAAACTAAATTTAATCAGGAAGAAAAATTAATTAAAATAAAAGTTATTGCCGAGAAAGCTAAAGTTTTGTTTGATACTGAAATGAAAATACGAGAATTAATGTTTAAAGAAATTACAGATGAGACTTTACTTATTAAGGAAATAGATGAATCTGAATTATATTTTGATAGGTGGAGACTTCTGGAAAGTAAAGTAAAAGATCTCACTTCTGGAACCCCGAATGTAACTTTAATTGATCCATCCTTTGTTCAGAATAAAATGTTACATTATCCGAAGATTAAATTGCCTATGTTTGACGGCAACTTGAAGAAATGGCTAGGATTTTGGGGGCAATTCCAAAAGATTGATAAAGATTCTACATTAGATAATAATGATAAATTTGCTTATTTAGCACAGGCTATGGAGAAGAATTCTCCTGCAGAGGAAATAGTTAAAAGCTTTCCGCCAACTGGCGATAGTTATAAGAGCGCAATCGAAGCATTGCAGACGCGTTTTGGTAACAAAGAATTACTAACGGAGATTTATATTCGTGATTTGCTTAACCCTTGTTATTCAAAAACAAGGTACACACTCTTTGCGGAAACTATACGATGAACTCGAATCTAATCTAAGAGCCTTGGAGATATTGGGAATAAATAGAGGCAAATATTGCGCGATATTATATCCATTGGTAGAATCAGCATTGCCGAATGAAGTCTTAAAAACCTGGGAGAGACTTAGGTTTTCGCGTAAAGGATCAGAAAGTTTAACCGGTGAAAACGCCGAGTTAAGAGAAAGGGAATCTGACCTTGAGCGCCTTTTATGTTTCTTGCGCGGTGAAGTTGAAAGTGAGGAAAGAATTTCTTTAGCAGCTAAATCTTTCAATGTTTTTCGATCGATTGGCTCACGGTAATAAGAAAGGGAATTCGGGTTTAAAGATAAGAGAACCTCACTTAAAACCTACGGCAGCTGAACTGTTTACTTCTTCTAATGAAGCTAGAAAAGGCTGCATATTTTGTTCCAGTATAAATCATGGTTCTGCGGAATGTTTTCAGGCGCGTAACTTATCGTTGTCAGAAAGAGAAGTTTTGGTCCAAAGGACACGCTCTTGTTATCTGTGTCTGAAATCTGGACATTCTGTCAAGGAGGTGTAGATTAAAAACAGTTTGTTTTACATGCGGCAAAAGGCATCATATTTTTCTATGTAAGGGCCATTCACAAATGAGTGAGACAAGGGCAACGGAACAGCCTCCAAATCAGGCTGAAACACTCGCCAACATTTCTTCAAGGTCTCCTAAAGTTTTGCTGCAAACAATAAGAGTAATAATTAAAAGATAAAAAATCTCTCGTTCGGCTCGAGCTATAATTGATACTGATTCTCAAAGGTCATATATTCTGCAAAGCGCAGCTCAAGATATGGGTTACAGGTACACGGTAAAGGAATACCTTAGCCACGCATTATTTGGCGGTACAACGACCAGTTTGTGTGAACATAAAGTTTACAAAATTCATTTATCTACTCGTAATATGTCTAGCTCTTACAGTTGTAATTTTGATGCGTTAAGTCAGCCTGTTATTTGTAATAGTATACCTTCTATTGGACAAGGAATATGGCTTAAAGAGCTTTCTGACTATGGAATAAGTTTAACAGATCGTTTAGAAGGACCTATAGAAATTTTAATAGGAGCCGATGTTGCAGGACGATTATTAACGGGGAATCGTACACAAATTTCAAACGGTCTTGTAGCTATTGAAACAAAGTTAGGATGGACGGTTATGGGAAAAACCGGGGAGTTGAATAGTGGAGGTTCAACATTCTTAGTTACATCAATGTTGAATAAAGAAGCTTGTATTTCTGATTTATGGGCCCTCGACTCGCTTGGTATTACGGACCCATCCGAACAAAAGAGTAAATTGGAATTGTATGAGGCTACCAGGCAACATTTTCTTGATACTGTAAAAATAGAAGATGACCGCTTTGTAGTGTCTTTGCCTTGGTTGTAAGGGCACCCTCCCCTGTCGGATAATTTTGAGTTATCGCTTAAAAGGTTGCACGGTACGATTAGGCAACTTGAAATAGATAATCTTCGCCAAGAATATGAAAATATATTCCAAGAATGGCTCAAAGAGGGCATAATAGAGGAAGTACCCGTAAATGAATTAGATTTACCCCATCATTATTTGCCACATAGACATGTTGTTAAGGAACATAGTACTACGAAGTTACGGCCAGTATTTGACGCTTCGTCTAAAGCAAAGGGTTCGCCGAGTCTCAACGATTGTCTTGAAAAGGGATTAAACCTTATTTAATTTATTCCTACAATCTTAAATAGATTTCGCCAAGAAAAAATAGGGGTGATTTCTGATATTCGTAAGGCCTTTCTACAAATTGGCCTGAATTTTAGTGACAGAAACTTCCTCCGATTTCTTTGGATAAAGGGTGAAGATGGCTTGAAGCATTTTCGTCATTGTCGAGTCGTATTTGGTGTAACCAGTAGTCCATTTTTACTTGGAGCTGTTATTCAATATCACTTAAATTCAATTTTGGAGAAAAATGATGCAGATGTAAAATATTCTTCTTCCAACATTATTGTTAAATTAATGAATAGTTTTCTATGTTGATAACTGTGTAACAAGTGTCGGAA